CTCTTAATGGGGCTTATGTTGAATAACAACACACATTTCCCCACAATTATGTGTGTCATATTGTTCACCCTAAGCAATGCAGTGTTCCCCATGGGTATCTCTGGATAAAAGAAAACCTTGTTTTCTCACTAATGAAAAAACTTGTTATAGATTGCTTGGAAGGAAAAAAAACTTGATGAATGGAATTTAAGTTGTATGTTTAACTATTCGGGTATTTTGCAGTTTGTTTATGCTATGTTTGTATAGTAGGAATGGCATAAGTTTAATTTGAATTGCTTTCTCCACGAGAAGGGTAGAGAAGCATTGTCTGATATAATACTTCTTTATAAGAGGTACTGTATGATCATTTAATCAATTAAATCATCTTAATAATTCCAGTACTCTCAGAATTATTGATATGTGACAATTTTCTCTTAGAAGAAAAAGTTAAAAATGCCTTTGCAGTGAAAGTACTCCTAATTCAAAATGTGATCAATTTAATTATAACTAATGCTTATATATTTGTATTAATGAAAAATTACACAATGAGACACTTTTTAAAAGAGTGACTGATTTGCAGAAATTAATGTATTTTTATACACACATGCATTGCATACTTATTTTTTAGTTTAATGTACCTTCCCCAATTATGTATAGTTGTCATATTATAATTACATTTTCATATCTTTTTATGGAAAAGGCATGTTTTAATTTTACATGTCAAACCTGATATCAAGTGAGCATTGTTTTGTATAACCTACAAAGTAGACAATTTACATAGTTGAGAGAGCTGTATATGGAATAGAAAAATCAACCAATATTTGCTATATTAATATATTGATTATATTCAATAATAAATTGGCAGATAAAAGGAAAACTAAATAACTCACTTCCTGTATAAATATAAATCAATTTGAAACAACCATAATATTTTCTTCACTCTTATAGCAATTCATTTTATCTGTGATTTTTATTTTCAACTTATTTTTAAATTTCAGATTGCATCATTATTCGCAGTATATGTTGTGGGGTACATCGATATATATAAATTACAGAAGATCATTTATATACACATGGTAATGGTTTTTTATTGTTTGTTTTCCATTTAGTTTGTTGTTAAAATAAACTCCTGATGAATATTTGATTTGATTTGTTCATAGCTGAAACTAATTGTAACATGGTTCCATAACTAAAAAAGTGTCTTGCAAACGCTGTGATATAACCTTGTTTTAATATGCCACCCAGGAAATTTTGATTTGGATTATATTATTATGGGGTTATATCCAACTTATGCATTATTGTAAAAGAATTTATGAAAGAAAACATGGACTGGTATGTCATTCTAGAGCCATCTGTTAAATGAAATAAAGGGGCTATAGCTCACACCTGTAATAATCTCAGTGCTTTGGGAGGGTGAAATGAAAGGATCCCTTGAGGCCAGGAGTTTGAGTTTACAGTGAGCTACGACCATGCCACTGCACTCCAGCCTGAGCTACAGAGCAAGACCCTGTCTCTAAGAGGAAAAAAAAGAAATGTTCATTCGTGAGCACCAACTATCCAGGTGTGTGGGACACACTCATGACTAGCACTACTGAGACTGCAGCATTCATATTGGTTACATTCTAGTAGAGTGGAGGGAGGAGGGAACAGAGGATAAGTACTGACGTAGTTGGAACATGATAAAGATTATAGAAAAAGAAAAGATTAGGGTAAGGCATCATGAGTGCCAACATCAGTGGGATAGAGCAAGGAATCATATGAGGTGGTCAGGTCTTACTGAAAAGGGGGAGTGGAGCAAAGATTGGAAGGAGGAGAGGGAGTTAGCGAGGTGGGTATTGAAGAAATGAATATTCTAGGTTAGTATAAAAGCTAGAGCAAAGGCCTAAGGCTAGTTGGCTGATGTTGATGAGTGTTTATCCTTTAAAAACATTTATCATCTCTCTGTCATTAGTTTTTATAATTTTGATATTTTCTTTTTATGATAATGTTATATGATATGCCATTATTTTTATTCTCTTAATAAATGATACATATAAAAGGACATTTATGATGTATAGGGAAGTTGTGAACACATTTCTAAACTAAACCATGAGCCTACCTTCCAAGAAAACTAGAACCTTGTCATTACTTTGAAATCTTTTGTATCCTACATTCATCTTCTCACTGCTTCTAGCCTAGAGGTAACTACTCTTCTGACTTTTTAAATCATCATTAATTTGCTTTTCTTTATAACCTTACCTTATATGAATTCCTACATAATTTTATTATTAAATGCTCACATTGTTTTAAGGTTTGTACAAATGATATTCTTTTATGAAGCTAATGTTTTCACTGAGATTTCTGTGTAACTAGAGTTTAGATATTTTTGCTGCTTTATATTTTCCATTGTGTAGATAAAGTACAATTTATTTTTTTATTTTCTTGTTGAAGGACATTTAAGATTCTTTACCCTCTCCCCCATGCCTCTTTTTACAGTTGTGAATAATAGTGTACATTCTCCACTATCTCCTATATTTATCTAGGTAGACTTGTTGGGGGTAAATTATGCACATGCTAAACTTTGCAAATACCAATTTTTTTTAAATAACTGTACTGCTTCATACAGCAATTTAGAACAGCTCATGATATTCTACATCCTTTTTTATTTTATCAATCTGATTGATATGATATAGTATCTTGTGACCTTAATTTGAGTTTTCTCTGATTCTTGATGAAGCTGATCTTCTTTGGGTATGTTTATGGGACCTTTATGTTTGCATTTTTGTGATATTTCTATCCAAATATCTTACTAAATTTTTGTACACGAGAAAATTCCATCTGTTTTATTCAGTGCAGTGTAATCCACCATTCTCACTATTTATGTTGATGTTCAAATTGTTCCAGATTTGTTCAACTGTTCATGCTGGCTTCTCTGTCCTTTAACATGTTCTCATCATGCTTTGAGCACTTTAAAAAATAAATTAATAAATGTTAAGTTTCATGAAATGTTTTTCTGCATCTGTTTAAATGATTCTGTGTATCTTCTTCTCTTTAATCTGTTACTGTGGTGAATTAACATTAATTGATTTTCTAACATTAAAAAACATTGCTTTTCTGGGATAAACACAATTTTTACATATTGCTGGATTCAATGTGCTATTCTTTTGATAGGATTCTTATTTCCCTGAGTCAGACAGTAATTATCTTTTTTAATACTTGGCTTATTTTTTCCCAAACTGTTCAATATAGGATATTATTTTGTATTACAAATTGGATTAAATGTTAAGCATTCAGAGTCGGCTAGTCACGTAGGCAACTGACTGTGGCTGAGGGCCTCAACTCTAAATTGTAATTGTAAAATACTGAAACTACACAGGTATAGTTTGTAGTAAACACCTATCTTGGGTAAATTGTATATATTTTATGATGTGACTTACCAATTATTCTGTATCTTCTGTATTACTTTACAAATTTGTATAGTTACATAAAGAAAAAATATAGAACTATTTCCAAAGAGTTATTTTTTAACTGTGGTAAAATATACATACCATAAAATTTATCATCTTAAGCATTTTTAAGTTACAGTTCAGTAGTATTAAGTACATTAGTATTGTTTCGCAACCATCACCACCATCTACAGAACTCTTCTCATTATGCAAAACTGAAACTCTATACCCATTAAATAATAACTCCTTATTCTCCCATCTCACCAGCCCCTGGAAACCATGATTCTACTTTCTGTCTTTATGATTTTGACTACCTTATGTATGTCATGTAAGTGAAATCATACAGCATTTGTCTTGTTGTGACTGGTTTATTTCACTTAGCTTAATATCCTCTGGTTTCTTCCACATTGAAGCATATGTCAGAATTTCCTTCTTCTTTAAAGCTGAATGATAGTCCATTGTCTGTATATACACTACATTTTGCTTATCCATTCATCTGCCCATGGATGCTTGGGTTGCTTTCACATTTTAGCTATAATAAATAATGTTGCTATGAACATGGGTAAATAAGTATCTCTTTGAGACTTGTTTTCAGTTCTTTAGAGTATGTACCCAGAAGTGGAATTGCTAGATTATTCTTATGGTAAATCTGTTTTTAATTCTTTTGAGGAAATTTTCCACAGTAGCTGTACCAGTTTACATTTCTACCAACAGTGTACAAAAAAACATGTTTTTTCGTATAATCACCAACATTTGTTTTCTATCTTTGTGATTGTAGCCTTTCTAATGGGTATGAGGTGGTATCTCACTTTGGCTTTTGTTTGCTTTTTTAATTAAAAACTTTATTTCTTCAGAGAAGTTTTAGGTTTATAGCAAAATTGAACAGAAAGTAAAGAGAGTTCTCATATACCCCTGCCCCTACTCATGTACAACCTTCCCTATTCTTGATATCAGGCACCAGAGTGCAGTGACCCCATGGATAAACCTGCATTCACACATCATAATTACTCAAACTCTGCAGTTTATGTTAGGTTTCACTTTTGGTGTTGGACATTCTATGGGTTTTGACAAAGCATCATACAGACTAGTTTCACAACTGTAAAAATCCTCTGTGCTCTGTTTGTTCATTCCTCCCTTCCCCCAACTCCTAGTACTACAAATCTTTACTGTCTCCATAGTTTTACTTTTTGCAGAATGTCATATATTTGGAATTGTACAGTACGTAATCTTTTGACTTTGGCTACTTTCACTTAATAAAGTACAGTTAAATTTCTTCCAGCACTTTTCTTGGCTTGATAGCTCATTTCTTTATAGCACTGAATACCATTTTGATGATGTGGTTGTACCACTGGCTATTCATTTACCTGAAGGATATCTTGCTTAATTCCAAGTTTGGGCAATTATAAATAAAGTTGCTGTACACATCTGTGTTCAGGCTTTTGTGTGGATATGCTTTCAGTTCATTTGGGTAAATACCAAGGAAAGCAATTTTTGGATCATATGGTAAAAGTATGTTTGGTTTTTAGCAAATTGGCAAACTGTCTTCCAAAGTGGCTGTACCATTTTGTGTTTCCACTGGCAGTGAACAAGAATTTCTGCTGCTCCACATCCTTATAAGCATTTGGTGGTGTCAGTGTTTGGATTTTGGAAATTCTCATAGATGTGTAGTGGTATCTCATCGTTTTAATTTAGCTGAACATCTTTTCTTATGCTTCTTTGCCATCTGAATATATTCTTTGGTGAGGTGCCGGTTAAGATCTTCTGCCCATTTTTTTTCATTGGGTTGTTCATTTTCTTCTTTGTGAGTTTTAAGAAACCTTTGTATATTTTGGATAACAGTTCTTTATGAGATGTGCCTTTTGTAAATATGTTCTTCATCTGTGGCTTCTCATTCTCTCGATCATGTCTTTTGCAGAGCAGAAGTTTTTAGTTTTAATGAAATCCAGTTTATCAAATCATTTATTTTGTGGATCATACCTTTGGTGGTGTATCTAAGAAGCTATCACTATTCTTACAATCATCTAGATTTTCTCCTGTGTTATTATCTTCTAGGAGTTTTATAGCTTTGTGATGTCCTTTTAGATCTATGGACCATTTTTCAATGTTTTGCTGTCATCCAGGCTTAAGTGCAGTGGTATGATTATAGCTCACTGCAATCTCTAACTCCTGAGCTCAAGCCGTCTTTCCACCTCAGCCTCCCAAGTAGCAGGACTACAGGTACACACCACCATGCCTGGTTCATGTATGTATATATGTAGAGAGGAGCTCTTGCTATATTGGCCAGGCTGGTCTCAAACTCCTGACCTCAAGCAATCCTCCCATCTCAGCTTATGAGAGTGCTAGGATTACGGTTGTGAACCACCATGCCTGGCCTTGAGTTAATTTTTGTGAAGGGTGTAAGATCTATGTGTAAATTGGTTTTGTTTTGTTTTTTAATGTGAATTTCTTGCATCATTTGTTGAAAAGGCTATTTTTTGCTTCATTGTGTTGACTTTGATTTTTTGTCTGAGATCAGTTTTATGTGGGTCTGTTTTGGACTCTATATTTTGTTTCATTGATCTATTTGTCTATTTCACTGTACTATACTCTCTTGAGTATTGTAGCTTTATAGTAAGCACTGAAATAGAATAGTGTCAGTTCTCTGACCTTGTTTTTCTTTAAATTGAATTGAGCTTACTAGGTCTTCATACAAACTTACATCTTCATATAAACTTTTGAATCTGTTTGTTGATAACCGCGATATAACTTGCTGAGATAAAAACTGGGATTATGTTGGATCTACACATCAAGTGGTGAGGAATTGATATGTTGACAATATGGAGTCTTTCTGGACATACATGGGAAAAACTATTTAGTTTTTCTTTGATTATTTTTATTCAAGTTTTATATTCTCATAATTTTTTATATATTTTGTTAAATTTGTACTTAAGCATTTCATTTCAGGAAAGCAAAAATGTTTTGACATTAGAAATTTTATTAATGTAACTTATCACATTAAGAAGTTTTTTGAAAAATCAACAATATGATTGTTCCTTTGATGCTATAAAGGTATTTGATAAGTCAACATGTATTTGTGATTTTAAGGCCATAATCGAGTAAAAATAGATATTTTATTGAAATTTTAAATACACACACATCAAACCAAAAACAAGTATCAGTTGGAGCAATTAAACTATTTTCATTAATGGCAGAGCATGACAAATATGCCTACTGCCACTCTTATTACTTACCATTGTTGCAGAAAGACTAACTAATGCAATTAACTAAAAAATAAGAGTCTAAAAAATAGGAAAGGAAGTTGTAAAAGTATCATTGTGTGCAGGTGATATGATTTTGAATACTTAAAAAATCTAAGTAAACTACTGCTAGAAACAATGAAAGATCGATGCATATTTAATATAATGTTTCTATATACACATAATAGAAAATAACAGAAAAGGGTTCTGATACAATAGCAACATAAATGATAAACTTTAAAATAAACTTAAGAAATTGTTCGAGGATCTTTATGAAGAAAACTTTATATTCATAAATATATATAAAAGAAGACTTAAAAAAACAGAAGCACCGTGTTTTACTTTTGGATCTAAAGATTCAATATTGGACAGATGTAACTATAATGTACATTATTAAATAAGGTAATCATAATAAAATTTTAGTTTTTGAAACTTAAGCTGATTCTAAAATTCACATTTAAATTAATATATAGCGATCAAAACTAAAACTTCCAGAAGAAAATATGGGTTATTTTTTTTTTAACATTTTCTAATTATGGAGATAGGTCCTTAAGATCTGGAGTAAATGAATGATACATTTGCTAACATAAAGATTTAGAAAATAACTGTAGCTGGGTGAGGTGATTCACACCTATAATCCCAGCACTTTGGGAGGTGGAGGCGAGAAGATTGCCTGAGCTCAGGGGTTTGAGACCAACCTGAGCAACATGGCGAGACCTCGTCTCTACAATAAATCAAAAAATTAACCGGGCATGGTAGCACATGCCTGTGGTTCCTGCTACTTGGAAGGCTGAGGTGGAAGGATCACCTGAGCCCAGCAGACTGTGGCTGCCGTGGCCATGAACATGTCACTGGATTCCAGTCTGGGTGACAGAGTGACACTGACTTTAAAAAAAGAAAACTGTAAGACAAAAATATCACAAAGATAAAAAAAATGACTGGGAAAAATATTTACAATATGTTTGCTTGATAAGGGCCTATGTTCTGTAATACAAAAAGAACACTCTTAAGGAAATGAACCCAATAGAAAAATGGGCAATAGGAATAAGCAATTAATGCACATACAACATAAACAAAAAATAGTTTATCTAAAATAATACAGGGTGTAGCTGGAATGTGCAACAACAGGAACTCTTGTGCACTATTGGTGGGAGAATAAATTGATACAATCTTATGGTAGGGAAGTTGTAAATATGAATATATATATAATGTGTATATCCTTGATCCATAATATCAAACTCTAGTAATTTATCTAAATGTATTGACACACACATAAGATGTACACGTAAGGATGTTTATCATAGCAGTTATAATAGGAAGATCAAAATCAAACCAAACAAGGAGAGAACTTGTGTTCAGCAGCACTCAGAGGACCAACTAAGTAAATTATGGTTTAGCTATAAAGTAGAATACTTTTTCCAATTCTTAAATAGAGTGAATTAGATTGGTTTGGACTGATGTAGAAAGCTCTATGAAACATATTAAGAATGAAAGCAAGAATGAGTATAGCTTATGGAGTAAGTTTTCATTTTTGTTTGTTTTTAAATACATAAACTAGAGTTTATATATGTCAGTGTCTGGAAGGATGCACAGGAAACTGTTGATGGTGGTTATCTCTAGGCTTCTAAAGTGTGGTATGGAGAGTGGGCTGTTTTCATTGTAAGTCACTTTTGAATGGTTTGAGCTTTGTTTATCCTGGGCATGTACAATTTTCAAAATAAAAATCATTTTTTTGTTTTATGTGCATTAATTATATTTTCTTGGATTTTTTTCAGATTTCTCTTGCACTTTGTTTTGTTTTGATGTTTGGAAACTCAATGTTACTAACATCTTATTATGCTTCCTCATTAGTCATTATTTGGGTAAGTATTCCTTTAGTATATGGCTGTTTTCAAAACGTGAATGATTTGTCAGTTTCTTTATCACTGCCTTGGGATTCATGACAGGTTTCTACAGGAACCATTTCAGCTGTCTTACTGAATGCATTTATGTGTGATAGAGTGTCCAAGTACTCACTCACAACCAAAACAGAAAACACATGAACACACACATAAGGAAAAATTTTTATTGGAAAGCATAGCACCTCACCTTATAACTCTACTCTTCCCTATCTTCATTTTTCCTCAGCTTTTCTGTTACCTAGGTTTTGGTCCCAGGGTTTGTTTCCGAAAGGTTTCTTTCTTTCTTTTTTAGAGTTGAAGTCTCATTGTGTTGCCCAGGCTGGAGTGCAGTGACCTAGTTATAGCTCACTGTAGCCTTGACCTCCTGGGCCTTGGTTTTCTGGGCTCAAGTGATCTTCCTGCCTCAGCCTCCTGTATAACTGAGACTACAGATGCACACCACCATGCCCGGCTAATTTTAAAATATTTTGTAGTGATGGGGTCTTGCTATTTTGCCCAGTCTGGTCTTGACCTCCTTGACTCAAATGGTCTTCCAGCTCTAACCTCCTGAGTAGCTGAGACTACAGGTACACACCATCATGCCCAGCTAATTTTTAAATTTTTTTGTAGTGATGGGCTCTCACTATGTTGCCCTATCTGGTCTTAGATTTCTTGTTTAAAAGGTTGGGATTCCAGGCTTGAACCACTGCACCGGCCAGTTTCATGAAGCTTTCTCTTTCTTTTCCTACTTTTCCTGTTCTCTGTTTTTAGTCCTATTCCTATTCTACTGTCTGAATCCCCTTTCCTCCCACTCCTGTCTCACAGCGGCCTCCCGTCTTTATTCTGCTGTGGTCAGAGGCTTGAAACTTTGGTTACTTAGGTTTTTCTCTTTTTTTCTTTCTCTCGTCCTTTGTCTATTTGTGTGGAATATTCAGATGGTTTAATTCAGGTGATGATTCAGTTACATGTTGCTAAATCACTACTAAGAACAGATTTTGGTTACGAGGAGACTGTTTTACATAATCATAAAGTGGTTATTTAATTCCCTTTGTCACAGTGACATAGAAGTCTTCTGAAATTTAAAGACTTCCAGAAATGGTTATACCTTTCCTTCTGCAAGTTCCACTATTACAATGTTTTGCAAACCTGTTATTCTTTGTACTTAAGGTACATTGTGCTTTAGTATAGACCAGTTTCCTGAAGACAGAATGCATATTGCACTGTTTTCATTAGAATGTATTCTATTCTTGAGTAATCATTTAAGTTACTCAGATCATTTTGGTTTTCTTGATTTCTGGAACCTTTTAATGAATTTGAAATCTCCTTTTTTTGGTCTCACTTTACAAATATTAATAATATTTATTTAAAAATCCATTTTCCTAGGCTATGCGTCACCCAGTCTGGGCCACCACCCTTTTCAGACTGTGTTCCTTGAGTATACTTGGTCACAAAAATCAGCAATTATTAATAGCATGTATTGGTGCTGTGTGGGTTTTTTTTTTTTTTTTAAGATTTTAATTTTCTTTATTTTGTTTTCAATTTTACTTGGAGCAAACTTTACAAATGGTGACACTCACAGATCATGAATATATACAGCTCAATGAGTATTTTAATGTGTAAAAATGAAGCCAACACACAGATCAAGATATAGAAAAACTCTAATTCCTTGAAAGTACTCCTTGTGCATCATCTATGGCAATAACAACTGCCATTGTCCCATTCTTTTTTAACTGCCAAAGAAAACTTAAGAACAAGTCTGACCTCCATTACCATACAGGATTGTTGCCTGATCTTGATCTTCATATAATGTAAAAGGTAAAATGGATCTTTTTAAGATGGACTCCTTTTACTCAACATTATTTATTCTAAATTTATTAGGGTTTTTTTTGCATGTAGCAGTAGGTTTTTCTCCCTGACGTTTTAGTATTCCAATAGATGAATACACTACAAATTCTTTATCTGCCTGAATTGTACCCCACATCTTTAAATAAAAAAAAAATTTTTAGACTAACTGATCAATTAAAAAAAGGAAGCAAGTAAAAGTCCACCAACATTACAGTAGATACTATGCTTTCCATGACAACAACAACAACAATCACTAAGTTGCTGTACTTTGGAATTAATAAGTATAGTTCTTAAACTCTCTGTACTCTAATTATTAGGAAATGTGACGGTGTACTCAATTCTATACTTTATATGTGTGCTTTGGCAAGTACTACTGTCACCCGCAGTAAAGTACATGACTCTTGGTACTGGGTGCAAGGAAACCATGGAATTGAATATTGCATATGAATAAAACCTAAGTATGTTTTGCAGGAAATTTCTCTTCATTTGTGCACTTACAGTGTATCAGTTATCCTGCCAGATACTTTATATTGAGTTGTCTCTTAGGTATGAGTTAAGCATATTCGTGTATGTTTCAATATATTTTGGTGTATAAATCAATAATTCCCACATAGCATGTTTATGCATATTTTACTATAAACACATCTGCATATATTTACTTATGGTTAATCACTTTGAAAATTGAATTGTATCACATTTTATATTCTCAGATACTCAGAAACTTCCAAAAAGATTTTATTTGGGTTCAAATATTTATATTTTGATCACTAATTATATTTTTGCCAAGTTTGAAGTAGATTTAGCTCCTTGTAGGTTTGGGAGTCTTTGTACCTGGAAATACTTAAGATTTGACAGAGGAGAAGCATTTTATTGAGCCTTTAAAATATCATTGCTTTGTTTACCCTAAGAGTTAGTAATGTTGAGCTGAAGGAAAATCTTATGCCTGTATGACTGTTCTCTAAAATTCTAAAGTTGTTATATACCTCTTGACTCATAGATAAATCAGATATGTAAAATCAGTCGTATAAATTTAGTTATGGTGATTCTTTTTTCACCTTTATTGAGTTACTAACTCACCTAATCACTTTGGGTAAAATAGGGCTATTTCTTGAAATCACTGACTACAGAAATGAGCGTGTGACAGTGCTATGTAGAAAGTTGGCAGTGAGCTAAATTTTAGATACTTGAGAGCCATTACTTAGAGGAATTTTTTTGGTACTTGAATTTATGTCTGTAAATATTTACCGTATACTATGTTATTTTCTCTACTTAGGGTATTCTGGCAATGAAACCACATTTACTGAAAAGAAATGTATCTGAACTTAGTTTGTGGGTAAGACTCAATCTATTTCAATGTATATGTTTTTCTTCTCTAGAATATATCATTGACTCCTACAAAATATATTCAGTTTGATAAGATTATATGTACATATGTTTATTTTTAGCTGTTGCCTCCTAATTTTGAGCAACATTATTTTAAATTGAGATACTTGTTTAGTGTTTTATCTTAGAGATATTAGTATTTACTTCACGTGTGATTAAAGCATTTTTTTTCTTCTTAGCCCGTATCTATGGAATACAGAACATCAAAGTTACTTTTGTTTTGTTTTATTATTTTTTTTAGGTAATCCAGGGGTGTTTTTGGTTATTTGGAACTATCATTCTCAAGTATTTAACATCTAAAATCTTTGGCATTGCAGATGATGTGAGTACCTTTTTTTGCTTCAACTTGAAAGACTTGAAAAGAATCAAACAGGCTAAAAAGAATGAATTTTTTTGAGTTATTAAAGTAACATTTTTTAAAGCAAACTGTAGGGTGAAATCCATTCACCTATTATTTTAGCAATTTAATGCAATAGAAGTGATTATATATGTAGTTTTATTCTACAAAGTTAATTTTTTGACACAATCTCTTATTTTATTGTTCCTTCTACATGGCAAAGATTTTTAAAATTTTAAAGCAAGAAAAATCTAGAGATTAAAGCTCAGGTTCTAAGATCTAGCCAGTCATTTTTCTCTTACTTCTTTATAATCCCCTTTTGTAACAGATAAAGTCACCCATCTTCAAAGCCTTAACAGGACATATTATAGGTTCATTCTTTTTTCCCTCCAATTTTCTAGTCATTGCTTGTAAAAGGTTTCTTTTTAAGCCTTTATAGGTAATGTAACCTAAGTTAGTCTTTTTAAGAGAAGTTCACTGTTTGTTTTGGTTAGAGTAGAAGAGAAGGAAATAAGAATTCTGCCTTATGACTTTAAGGATTCTTTCTAGCCATAATTGCTTTGCCTGTTTTGGTATTTTAATTAGCATATACTAAGTCAGAAGGCTATCATAGATTTAAATTAAAAAAGAAAGCAGCACAAAACCCCACTTGGAAAAAGTAAAATAAACTGTGTATTTTTTTCTATAATTTATTTTTATTGGTGGTCTGTTTTCCTTCTGTACTAGAACAAAGCTGTGGTTTTTGAAAACAGGTTATCTGAAGTCCTAGAACTCCCAAAGACTCTTCCCTGGGGTCTGCCTACTTCCCATCTCCTCTAGCCTCTCTTTCCCAGGGCAGCCTAGCCTTAATCTCTTGCCTACAGGTTTTCATATGAACAAGGGCATTTTTTGCTTTAAAAGATTGATAACAACTAAATGGGAAATCTACAGCTTGTGGAAAGCTCTTTTTTTTTTTTTTAAGTTGGAGTCTCACTCTGTCGCCCAGACTGGAGTGCAGTTGCCGCTCCCAGCCAACACAGCCTCGACCTGCTGGGCTCAGGCGATCCTTCCGCCTCAGCCTTCCAAGTAGCCAGAAGTACAGGCACATACTACCACGCCCAGCTAATTTTTTTGATTTATTGTAGAGAAGAGGTGTCACCAAGTTGCCCAGGTGGGTCTTGGACCCACGGGCTCAGGCAGTCCACTCGCCTCAGCTTCCCAAAGTGCTGGGATTACAGGCTGAGCCACCGAGCCTGGCCGGAAAGCTTTTTAAAACTACCAAATTGTAGTTGAAAACATATTCACTCTTTCATCCACTTATTCATTCATTAATTCAGTATGTCCCTTTTTGTACCTGGCAGTGGAATACATCCTAGAGATACAAAACTGAGTGAGACATGGCCTAGTGGAAGATAGGAACAGTTTCTAGCAATTGTAATATAATATAATGGAGGATCTTAGAAGTCAGCTGTGAAGTTGAGAGCTGAGAGGTAGTTGAGTCAGATAGGATGCAGAGCTTGAACAGGAAGCAAAGTGGAATAGCTCAAGTCCTGTGTTTCTGGAATGTTTCCTTCCTGGAGAAAGACAAAAGTTAAGGCATTGATTCAAGTTACAGTGCTTATTGTCATTTCTGTCATAGCCTAATGTTACATCAAGGACAAAAAGAAAAAGTGCTGTATAAACAGTTATTTGCCAACTGTAAATCATTTTGTTGTAACTCTAATATTTCTAGAAATATGTAATATTGACCAAGGGCATCAGATCATAAATTCTTAATTTTGACATTGGTCAAAGAAAGAGAATTGCAAAGCCAACCAGCCTTTCGTTTCTTACTGAGTTCACTACTATTGCTAATAGTACCTCTGAGCATAGGTTTTTTGCTCTCAGCCTCAAATCCCATCACCCTCTTCCAGTAGCGAAGGTTCTTCTGATTACATGGCCAGCTGCACCCTGGTAGAACTATTGCACTGACTGCTTTGGGCGAAGTGGTGGTGGTGCTGATGGTGAATGGGAGCAGCCCATGCGAGAATGCCAGACCTCCACTGTTTTTACCCAAAGTTTGTCAGTTTTTAAAGACTAAATGTGTCTCAATTTGTTGTCTCTGTTTTGTTGATTTCTAGAGCCTAATATGGCCATTTTTGAGTATTTTTTCCAATTTCAAAGTTGTTTTAGGAGAGAGGCGTTGACAACTTCACTCTGTCATGTTGGGAAGTCTCCCACATTCACTGGTATTTGAGTATCGATGCAGCCTTGTATCCGGGGATAAACTTCACTTGCTCATATCTATTATTCTGTCTATATATTCTTGGATTTGGTTGGCTAATATTTTAAGAATTTTTGCCTACATTTATCAGGAATGTTGGTCATAGTTTTCTTGCAATGATTTTGTCTGGTTTTGGTTTCAGGGTAATGTAGCCTCTGAAAATTATTGGAAAATGTTCTACCTTCTTCCATTTTCAGAGAGAATTTGTGTAGAATTGGTATTATTTATTTTTGAAGTATTTAGTAGACTTTGAAAATGAAGCCCTCAGGGTCTGGAGCTTTCTTTGTGGGTGGGTTTTTAAATACAAATTTAATTTCTTTAAGAAGTTCTCTAGTTCATCTGGAGTGAGCTTTGATAGTTTATGTCTTTAGAGGAACTTTGCTCATTTTATTTATGTCATCAAATGGATTGTGCTTTCTAAAAATTCTTGCTGAATTCAGATAGCTAAAATTCATACTGAAATTTTACAGCCGAGCTCGGTGGTTCAGCCTGCAATCCCACGCCTTTCGGAGGCTGAGGTGAGTGGATTGCCTGAGCCC